CAGAGCTGAAACCAGATAGCAGACGTGGAAAAGAAATTTGAGCATGGCAGTGTCGATTAGTCACTATTGATTAGTACCTGCCAGAGGCTGGTGTGGAGGTATTAGGAACCCCAGAACCCGTAGGAACTTCTGTTTTCTGAGCATGGCACAGCGGATAGTAGTTGTATCAGTAATCTATTGCTGCGTAACAAATTGCTCCAAAACTTTGTGGCTTAAAGTTAGAGTCATTTCTTATCTTTCATGGTTTCTGTGGGTTAGGAATCTGGGAAAGGTTCAGCTGGGCTGTTCTGGCTCCAGGGTCTCTCATGATGTTGCAATCAGATGGTGTCTGGAGCTGTAACACCAGGAGGATAGCTGGACACTCTCTTTCTTCCTGTAGTCTCAGGACCTCTCCACAGGGTCTTTGCAGCATGGAGGCTTCAGGATAGCTCAGGGGTCCAAAGCGAGTAGACAGAGAGAGAGAGAGAGAGTGTGTTTGAGTGTGAGCATGTAAAAGCAAGAGCAAGCACACTCACAAGCCAGGAGGAAGCTGTATTGCCATTTTAGACTTGGTCTTGGAAATCAGACAGCATGGCTTCTCTGGTACTGTCTTTGTCCAGGCAGTCACAGAGATCTTCCCAGGTCTTCCCTGGTTAAGGGCAGAGGACATAGACTCCACCTCTAATGGGAGAGTCACAAGGTTCTAGAAGAGCCTGTGGGGCCAGAAATTAGTTGCAACTATTTTTGGAAAACACACTGCCAAATGGTTAGTAGCTGGCTAGTGTAGATTCAGTGTCAAACTATCTGGTTGTGGGACCTTAGGTACAGGTGACTTCTCCTCTCTGGGAATAATAGTGGCTTCTCACAAGTTTGTGGGGAAGCATTCATTGTGATCGTCCACAGAGAGTTGTAAACAGAGTCCTGTAATAAGTGTTCAACAAATAGGAACAGTTGCTATCATTTGGAAACCCTTTGGGGAAGAAACTCAAAGCCAGAAAAGAGCAGGACCATCCTCTGGGTAAAGAGTGTGACATTGGATGAATTCCTCCCTAATTCTGAGGAAGTAGGAAGTTTTAAGCATTAAGCACTGGAATTCCCAGGATTCCTCAAGTTTAACTTTTTTTTCTTTTTGAGGTGAAATTTTTTTTTTTTCCTTCTCCATTTCCAATTTGGATACCTTTTCTTTCTTTTTATTGTCTAGTTATTCTGGCTAGAATTTCTAGTACAATGTTGAAAAGAAGTGAGGAAAACGAGTATCCTTGTCTCGTTTCTGATCTTCGGGGGAAAGTTTTCATTTTTTCCCCATTGAGTATGATGTTAGTTGTGGGGTTTTCATAAAAGTCCCTTTTCAGCTTGAGGAAGTTCTCTTCTGTTCCTAGTTTGTTGAGTGTTTTTATCATAAAAGGGTATTGGATTTTGTTCAATGCTTTTTCTGCGCCAATTAAGATGGTTAATTTTTTTTCCCCTTCGTGTGTTTTTTTTTCCTATTAATGTTTTTCCCTATTACACTGATTGATTTTCATATGTTGAACCAACCTTGCATTCCTGGGATAAATCCCACTTGGTCATGGTGCGTAATCCTTTTAATATGCTGCTGGGTTTGGTTTGCCAATATTTTGTGGAGGATTTTTGTCCTTAAGTTTAACTTTAAGAGGTACCTGAGCAACTTGGTTAGGAAACAGAAATCAGATACACCTCTGAATCCCAGCTGTCATTTGTTATAATAGGTGTGTTGATGTGTTACCTGAACCTCAGTTTCTTCACCTGTAAAATGGGTTCCTAAGAGTGTCCATCTCTTGGCACTGCTGTGATGATTCTGTGAGTGGATACAAGTCAGGGCTCAGCCCAGGGTTGGACAGATTTCCACTGGACACGTATGTGGTGATTGCTGTGCGTGGCTCTATGCTGTATGCTTCGTGTATCTTAGTTCACCTGATTATTGCTATAACCCTGTAAGGTATGTACTCTTAGGACCCTCATTTTACAGGTAAGGAGACTCGAGCACCGAGAGTGACTTTCTTGAGAACATACAGCTAGGAAGTGGGAAGCCAGCTTCAATCCCAAGCTGACTGGCCTTGGGGCCTCCCAAGGAAACGTTCAAAAAACAAGGACTGTTGTTTTCTATTCCAACATTGTTAGAAAGCTTTCTCAAGCATGCTGCAAAGTTGAAAGACTTGTACAGTAACCAGTTACCTGTCCTCCCCTACCCAGGCCCCACCATTAACACTGGCCTGTGCTTATGTTATCACATAGCTACCCATCTTATTTTTTTTGATGCATTTCAAAGTTGCAGACATCAGACTACCTCCCCCTCAACACTTTGGCATGCACACCACTAAGTAGAATTCATATTTGTTTCCAGATCTTTTTGTTTTGAAGTGAAATATGTGCTTGTCTTTGTTCAGGCTGCTGTAACCAAATACCATAGACTGGGTGGCTTAAATGACAAACATTTATTTCTCACCATTCCAGAGGCTGGAAGCCTGAGATCAGGGTGGC